TTAATTAACATTTTTAAGTAATAATTATCATTATTATAAGGAATTAATTATTAGTAAGTAATTATAACCAACAACTTTTTTAGAAATCATTTGTATTAGTAATAATTAATTATAATTATTGATAATAATAATATAATTATATTAATTAATATAATATTACTAATTAGAATTACTTATAATAATATAATTAATTATTTCATATAAATGTATGAATTATAATTTATGATAATAATTATAATATAAATAATTAACATTAAATATTTATTTTCAAAAAAAATAATATGAGTTGATATAAATATAAAATTAGTATTTCCGAATTATTTATTACCATTATGAAAAGCATTATTAATTATCATTCCGAATTAATAATGAGCAATATTACCAGTAATAAATTATTAGTAATTAATTATTATCAGTAATTATGTATTAGGAGTAATTATTATATGATATTATTTTCAATAACTAATTATTACCAATGAGTAATTATTATTATTAATTAGTAGATGGAATTAATTAATTAGAAGTAGTTAACAATAATTAATTAGTAAGCAAAAATAATTATTATTAGTAATTAATAGTTGGAAATAATTAATTAGAAGTAGTTAACAATAATTATCATTATTAAATAATAATTGGAATTAATTAATTAGTTTAGTAGTTAACAGTAATTAATAAGCATGTCAAATTAATAACTACCTATTTAATGAAAGTGGTTTGATTTGAAATGCATTAAACCCAGTTTGACTAATGAAATACTGAAATGACCCTAATCAGTATATTAAAAGGCCGAGTGTGGAGTTATTTTGACTCCATCCCTTTTTTAGGAAATGATTGAGAGTGGGAGCTTCCCAATTCTCATGACTCTGCATGGTGTTGGGCTCCACTCTACATGTTAGTGGGCTGTGTTCTTGCACTATCACTGATTAGAATTTGAAATGTGTCTACTGTATTTAAAACATTGGAAGGACAAGTGTTTAAGTGAAGGAGTGCCATGTGTCTGATTTCCATAAATAACTGATTGTTATTATAATTTACTTAATTTAGTAATTTCAGCAAGTGATTATTTGATTTAATTTGAATTATTTCAATTTTTTAATTATTTATAACAGACATTTAGGATAGGCCCTTTATTTGATTTAAGAGACTTACCTTGTTTTATCTAGAGAATGACCCCATACTAAGTAAGGGGCAACTATAGTATTATTTAATTTGAAATTTACTAATTAACAATAAAAGATCAATGTCCTGTTGGGCAACTCACCCCCAAAAAAGTATCCATAACTTTGAAATCATTAATCTATTTATAAGAAAAGTAAAATTAGATGGATGTTTACAACAGTATCACCAATATTGCTTAATATTTAGAGACGTATGAATGGAGAAAAAGCATTTAAATGATATCCATTCAAAGAGGCAAAGAAAGAAGAAAATCATTCAAAGAGTTGCTAAGAAAAACAATCCATGCCAAACAACATTTGTAGGTGCAATCATCCTCTGACATAAGAGATGAAAAATATATGATTATAATCAAATCATCATCATGTATGGCTACAATGAGYTGATAATATAATCAGAACTCAAAAGCCCATCCAACAGAGGAAACAGGAAAGAAAGGAGAATAATGGGACCATTCCGAGTATGGAGGTCACTTCAAGTTAGGTGGCAACGCTTCTTTTGGTCGATCATGGTTATGGATTTTAAATCTAAGCTCCCCACAGTGCACCTAGACTGAATGGAATTTATCTTTAGGAAAAAGGTAGGGAAACCTGTACATAACCTAATGGTATGTTTGAATTATGGGAATTGAGAAATAGAAATAGGAAATGTAGGTTGAAATTATAATTTTGGGCATGTTGATGTGTCAAATTCAAGTAGATTAGAATACTCATAGATTTTGAGTTCATTCATTTAGTGGAAATTTGAATATTCTTTTTATTCCATGTGTTTATTGAGTAATATAGATTAATAATTATTTAATCAGTAATAATAATAAGTATGTTATTATTAATATTATTTACTAATAATATATTCTTATTATGGTTTAGAAATTATCTATGCATCTGTTTGGCATCGATGTCGTTGCTCCAGAAAACGACAACACATCACAACCATGTCAGAAAAAATGGCGCTCTAGAAAATGCTTGTTTGTTTGGAACTACTTTTCCATAAAAGCGGTGTTTCAAGCCATGCCATGGAAATTGGGAAGACATGGCTCGGAGCGACGCCAAATTTGGCATTTCCTAGAAGTACTACAGCTCGTTGCTGCCAACAAGGATATGAGGTGGCAGTGACATAGCATTGGATAATGGGTACCAATACTGAAAATGTTTCCTAGAACATTGGTACCAAACAAAAAAATTTGTTATTGCTCTAGGAAACGTTCTACCTGGCAGCAACGTTTTCAAACAAAAAACAAACACCATTTTCTAAAAAAATGGTGTCGTATCTGTAGCATCGATGCCAAACATATACTATATTGACGGGGTAAATGCCCAAGTAATTTTGTCCACTACCTATGAGTGCATTTTGAAGCAGCAGAACCATGGAATTTTTTTGGTGGAATTTTCGTCATTAAAGGGTTCATTTTGAGGTGTTAGATTGGATTCAGTAGGCAACTCTCTTCAAGCTGAATTCCTAGCAGTTCTTGATGGTATACAACTTTGTGTGGATAAGTCTCTTTTCAATATAGAGGTAGAATGTGATAATCAACTCTTGGTGAACATCATGAAAGGTGATATTGCTGCTCCTTGGTCTGTCTACTATACACACAACAAAATAAAAGAAATCTCAGCTGGTCTCAACATTGAATTTCGTCATGCTTATAGGAAAGCCAACCGAACTGCTGACTGTCTTGCTAGTGAGGGAGTGGATAAAGGTTCTATGACTATCTACAATCATCTTTCTGACTTAATGGATCACGTGAGAACTTTGATTGCTCAAGACAATCAAGGTCTAGCTATTCCAAGAGTCCGTTTTTGTAATGAAGCTTAAATTCCCTTTTATTTCCTATTTTATTCCTCTCATAGGGGATTGAGGTTATGAGAGAGTGTTTGTATCTAGTTGGATTAGGGGCAAGGGGCTATGTTGTCCCCCGCTCTTGTTTAGAATTTTTCTCTCTTTTTTTTTGGTGGGCCTGAGGTGGTAAGGGAGAGCTATGCATGCTTGGGTCATGGGGCAAGGCGGGCTAAGTCCTCCCCTGTTATTACAAATTTCCCTTTGAAAATGATCAATAAAATTTAAGGTGGTCGCCCCTCCACCTGGAGTAAAGTTTGGGGTTAAAAAAAAAAAGTAGGCACATTAAGTAACTCCCAACCTCTAAAAAATGAGTTTTAGATATCAAACCCCATTTTTGCATTATCAAATGCCACCGTGGTCTCTTTTAAGTCACTTAGAAGAGGTAGGGAAACCTTGTGATTTTACAAGCCCTACCTTTCTCTTCCTTTCCCTATCTTTTCCATCAAACCAAACATAACCTTAGTGTTTGTGATGGCAAGTAGGACAACATGACAGAGCACCAAATTACAAAGTGTTTAGCAACTTGTAAGATACGGGAATGACATGGTACCAAAAAATATTTAAGTATTTAACCAATCAGTGGATATGAACACCACACGTTTAATCACCTCTTTTATGATATCGGTTTTTTGGTTATAAATTTTTCTGGTATCACAATCGAATAAAATATAAGAAACTGATAAACATGCCTTTTGCCTTTCATCTTATTAAGGGCCCGTTTGGCGTGTCTTTCCGTGCGGTCTTTCGACTGTTTACAAGCTGGGAAGACCGAAAATCGGTCTATTTCCATTTGGCACGCGGAAGATCTAACTRCCAAAAGATGGGATGTTGAAAATCGTTTCCAAACACAGCCTAAAGGACTGGTTGAAATTTAAAATTGCAACTTGTAAACATCAAACATGGCTTTGTTTTTCTACCACACTGGCATCGAGGGAAAGGAACAATATGATTTTTAACATCAAACCTGAACCAAAACATTCAATTTCATGTATAAAATATTTGTCAAAAACTTCCAATATGATCAAAATTATGGAAACCCTTGTGAGAATAGGAGCAACAGCAAGAACTAGAAAAAGATCTGCTAGAAACCTCCTGATGAAGAATGAATTAAAACACCAACTGTGCTACCCAAAATACGTGATGGAGGAACTGTACTTGAGGGGCGGTTTCATGACWTTGAACTACAAATGATTTTGTTGAACTTTGGAGTTTCAAACTAGGACTTGCCTGGGACTTGGGGTTAAGGAGAATTGTCCTGGAATCTGATTCACTTTCTACCATTCATCTACTAAACTCAAACAGGTTGGCTCCATGGAGGCTGAGTGGTCAWAAGAGAGATTTCTAAAATCACTGATAGATACTCGTGCGTAAAATTGTATCACTGCTACAGGGAGGCTAATCAATGTATCAATTTTCTCGCAAATCTGGGATGGATCTCGAATAACTTGGCTCCATGGAGGCTGAGTGGTCTTAAGAGAGAAATTTCTAACATCATTGATAGGAACTGCTTCTTAAAATGGCATCACTACTCCAGGTTTCTCACAATTAAATCTGGGATGGACMACCTTGAACGACAGATTTTTCTCACTTGTTACTGCTTGATGTCATGGATCGGAGTGTCAACTCCCCGTCTGTGTCATGGACTAGATTGTTGTTCCTTTCTTGTTTTTGTTTTGTTTCGTAATTTGCTGGCGAATCAAAAAAAAAAAAATTTGAAAGGAATTGCCTTCGGGCTTAAAACAAAAAAAAGAAACTAGAGTGAGAAAGGAGTCAAATGGCTTGATATTTTTTATCGGGAATGGTAAACGATTTTACATCGAAGTCTCCAAGATTTCAATATAAGCCTAAGAATAATTTTTCCTAAATATTTTAGCAGCCAATAAAAAGAGAAGGAGCGAGCAGCCGTTGATTTTTCAGAATACGTTCCAAAAAAAATCCATTTATTTTTGACATGGAATTAAAGGCATACTTAGCTAACCGAATTATGAAGTAAGACACTAAAATTTATTTGGACCAAGAACAATCAGCCCATGTAAGAACAACACCACCAAATATGGAAGAAGACTGAGTACTGGAGGGTAGAACTTGAGATGCAAATTAAGGCATAATTACTGCTAAATTGCTATGAAGGGAGAAACTAAAATTTATTTGGACCAAGAACAATGAGGCCATGCATGTAATAAGAAGAACAGCACTTGAAATCAAACGCTGTTCTTAATAGAAGAACTGTAGCCATTGTCAGAAGACTTGGACCACAGCATCACACCACCATAATTGGAAGAAGACYGAATAGAGGGTAGAACCTGAGACACTAGTGTGTCTGGCGGGATGTAGCCACCGCTGGGGGCTGCACTTGAATCGGCAGGCAGCCCCAAGAAGATCTGACTATTTGGAACCGACGAGGTCCATTGGTTCCAAGCGCTTATAAGATTGTCAGCACTTCCGGCATACTGACATGGAGGATTGTTATAGAACTGGACCCAGACGTAATCAAAGAGGCCAGTTTGAATTGCACCATTAAGCCATGCATCTGGGTAGGGGCATTGCGGAGCAGCACTCAAGTAAACCTTAGAACCGAATCCATTAAGAGCCTTAGCCAACTCGTCCCAGTGCTGGGTCGTGCCACCCTCGATGTCAAAGTCGATTCCGTCCAGAACAGCGTCCCCTAATGGACGTGAATCTGACTGGCCTCCCAAGAAGTTGTTCCAAAGGTAGTTTGCGACTTGCTGAGCATCATCCGCAGAAGAAAGGGAGTAGCCTCCAGCGCTACCTCCAAGGGAAAGAAGCACTTTRATGCCTTKGCTCTGGCAAGCTTTTATATCACTACTCAAACCGGTGCAACCATTTGAGGYTGGGTCACAATGGCCAGCTAAATTGAGCTGTGGAGTCTGGCCATTGCCAAATGCAACTAGAAAGGCAAYGTTCACAAACTGATAGTTGCCTGTGGCACATGTATCAGCCAAACTACCTTCTCCTCCGTCTTGGCCCCAATACACTGCTATTCCTCCTGCTTGTGACCTCACAGCCAGGGCAAATAACAGAAGAGAAAGAAGCACAACTACTGGTCTGGCTGCCATGTCTAAGCAATTTTGATGTGATTTTGTTTAGCGCTGGTGACTGATGAGGGAAGGAGCCGGTCTACAACTAACATATTTATAGGCGTGGTCGCATCTTACGCGTCAATGGAATAGTCGTCGGACCACATGCAACCGCGTCTTGACTTGACTCTCATGGGAGAAATTAAATTTCCCCGAAATAGTAACTGGACTTGACTTGTGGAGTTCTGTTTTAACTCACGAATCATGATGATGGCTTCCGTCCAAGTGCCCGTTTGGGAGGGTTTTAAGCAGCGTTTTCTTGCTAAAAGCCCCAAAAGTAATAGTCGTGTTTAGTAAGAAACCAGAAGAAGTCAAAGATAAGCTTACATTAGCCCAAAAATAACTTTCTGGTGAAATTATATCTTAGCTTTTAAATTTTAATGACTTAATCCGTGCAAAATACAAAAGCCCTCCCAAACGGATACCAAGTCATGAACCAACTGCTCGGRTCAACGTCAAGTCAAGGTCAAGGTCAAGGTCTAGAATCTGCTATGAATACAAGCGTATGAAATACGAAATGAATGGTGCTAGGTTTAATTTTAAAATAATGGAATCTGCGATGAATACTAAGATAAGGTAAGGGATACGAAATTACCACATGTGCACATGACAAGTCTTCTTTTCTTTTTTATTTTTTTATTTTGTCCATTTTAAGATTTAAGAGTTCAGTAAACTGTATACCCCTGCCCAGAAATCATTTATTAAGTCTCCCCTTCTTCCGATGGAATTGGGAATCCCCCCAAGTCTCCCCATCCCCCAAAATAGCATCCCCGTGAGTAAATCGGTAATCCCCTTGACAAATCATTTATTAAGTCTCCCCATCCACCAATAAACAGCATCCCCGAATTGGGAATCCCCCTTTGACACTGAACCCAATTATACAATCTTGTTATGAAGTCTGGGGGTAGATTGAACTCAAATTACCCCTTTCTGATTTTTTTTTTGGAGTCAGGAGGGGGGCGGTTTTTAGTTCCACAAATTGGAATCGATGGACTGGTTTTAGGTTTTAATATAGGCCCTATTCGTTTTTCGGTAAGTTATTTATCTGGGTAAATGCAATTATCTGGTTAAGTTTTTTTTAGGAAATACTTATTCAGGTAAGTGTATTTATCCATGTTCTTTTATTTCTCAGGTAAATAAGGTAATGACCATTTTAGTCATAAAAATCCATTATTAAAATGGGCATTTTTGTCCCATTCAAGTGTTAGCAACTTTTTCCTAGGTGGGAAAGTTATTTACCCACCTAGGAGGTAAGTGATACCCAAGAAAATAAAATTTCACTAGTCCCCACATTAATCTGAAAAATGAACATAGGATTCTTGGTTAATGGGAAACAAAATACTATTGACCAACTTTCCCCCCTCTCAAAATCCAACAAAGGAACACCCCCATAGTGTCTCAATTATTATCGATTCAAAACTGGTTTCATCTTGTCCTAAACCGATTCAGACCCGACCTGATTTATATCTACATATTTATTTATTTATTTAGTATAATCGGCTTTGTTGGGTCAAACCCAATTGTCTTGAGAACTGGTCAATTCGGTCCTAGGTCTAAAAGTTATAGAACCTATCAAGTTTGGGTCAGTTCCAGGTCCTCAATATTTCATGTTAGAATAGTTTTGATTCTATCTAGTTCCGACCCAGACTCAACTCGATGACAGCTCCAAGTGGGTGGGTGGTGGGGGGAATTGCAGTCTAACCCGATGACCCATGTGGATTCCAATTTTCCATGTAACCCGTTTGACATGTCTATATTGGTAGCTGATCAAAATTCGCCTCAACCTTCAATACTCAACACACTAGATATATGGAAATATTTGACCGGTTGTTCGGTATTGCCAACTACTTTCTACTTCCCACATGAGAGGCCTCGTTTGTTTTTCAGTAAACAAGAATAGGTGAGTTGATCAGTATCAGAATTGATCGATTTATCCATGTTATCTTTTGGTATTAGTGGTTCCATAGAAAAAAAAAAAACGATTTTTGAGTGCAGCAATTATCCAAGTATTACCCTCCATGTGTGCACCAAACCAAGTGTAAATGATCCTTTTTTGTACCTCTTTATGTTTAGCTCTCTGTGTCTCTTCCAACAATTGCCTCTAAAAGGACACATTTGTGTCCATTCGAGTGGCTGAGAGCACTCTATAAACAGTTTGTTGATTAACCCGGTGGTGCAGAATAAAACATACACCACTTCATCTTGGAAACCGATTTACAATTACTCGGCTGCACCATAGGGGGAAAATGCAATTTTAAGGAGAGTGACTAAGTGGCACGATTCAACCCATTTTAAACTATAATTTCTCAATGTGGTGTTACTTTCAGTACCAATTCTGCAACACTATTGCACTCTAGGTTCGGAAAGCATTGGACAACAAGTTCCATTCTCCCTTCTAATTATTATTTTTACAGCAATCATAAAATCACATTTATGGAGTCTATCTCTTTTGCCCCTATCATAGGAAATTAGATGTTGTCAATAATTCCATATTTCTCCAAGATTGAACCATTTAATGGAACCAATTACAAGCATTGGAGACAATTCCTTCTCTTTGCCTTAGAACAATTAGGGGTAGCCTTTGCTTTGATTGAACCAGACTCAATAAACATGGAGGAAGCAGCCCATTTTATCAATGTAGAACACTAGTTCATGGCTAATCACCCATGTAAGTACCACATCCTAATTTTCTTATCCAATGAACTTTACAATACTTGTACAACTTTGCCTATGAAATTTGGAATACCCTGGGCAAGAAACATACTTTGAAAGATGTTGAAAAGAAGAAATATGTTATTGCCTATTTCCTGCATTGTACCATTAAAAAGACATGGACATGTCTAATGAGTTTTAAGTGCTTGTGAGGGAACTAGCAAAAGAGGGAATGGTATTGTCCAATGAATTTGTTGTTGATTCTCTCATAAAGAAATTGCCTCATACATGTAATGATTTCAAAACAACTATGAAGTGTAAAAAAAATGACACTAATTGGGATCAAGTGGCAATCCAGATCAAAATGGAAGAAAATAATAGAAAAAAGGATCAAGTAGAGAAAAATTAGATTTCCAAAACCAATTTGGTAGAGGAAATGACTACAAAATTCAAAAAGAGTTTAAATGTGAAAAGTGGCAAAGTTTATGAAGAAACAGAAGAAAGGAAAATGTTATGTATGTAGTAAACCCAGGCACTACAAGAATGAATTCCATCACCGAAAGGAGGAGTCTAAGAAACCAAATATCAACTTGACTAAGGCAAATATTATTGTAGCCAAGGTAACTAAAGCAAACTTGGTTGAGAAACTAAAAAGTAGGTATAGGGCATTAGTGCTACTAAGCACATACGTAGGGACCATGGATCCTTCTATGAGTATACAACTCTAACTAAGGCTCCGTTTGGTTTGTGGGAAGATTTGGGTGGGATGGGATGGGATGGGAAAGTACTGTTCACCTTCCTCTATCATTCATCCTTGATCAGGAACTTCACGAACAGAGGCACAACTTTAGGAACTTCACGAACAGAGGCACGGCTTTAGGAACTTCACGAATAGAGGTAACTCTCGCTAGGAGCTTTGCCGATGATGAAGATGATTCACCAGGAGCTTCATGAATAGAGGTGACTCTCGCCAGGAGCTTCGCTAACAACTTTACGAATAGAGGCAACAGATCGACGAGAAGGGTTTCCTTGTTCGAGTTTGAGAGATCAAGGAAATCAGTTACCAGTCTTCTTCCTCGATTTCTTTGGTAGGTTGCATTGAAGCTCCATCTCGAAAGATTTGTAGACTCTGAATGTAATTGACTCATCTTTTGGTATTTGTCCTTCTTTCTTTTACAATGTTTAAGGCTTTGAAGGACACTGCTTGATCTTCATACTTCCTAGCTTTTTTGATCAACTTCTAATTATAAGTTGGAATGTGTGAGAATATTTCAATTCATAGATTGTTCTTTTTTTTAGTTTTCTTAATTTTAATTTCATTTGCATTGCAAAAGACTTTCTTTTTATACTTTGCGCAGTTAAAGTATCTTGATTGAATTGTCTGCAGCATAGGAAATCAAGAAAGGGGCGAATTTTGAAGTYAGAGATTTTGAGTTTTCATTCTTCTTCGTCTTCATAGACACCGAGAACTAAATAAGGGCTGCTCTGCAAGCTCGAACAGAGGCGACTCTCACCAGGAGCTTCGCTAGGAACTTCACGAACAGAGGCGACTCTTGCCAGGAACTTCACGAACAGAGGTGACTCCCGTTGAGCCCGTCATAGTCTGAAGAGGAAGAAGAGAGAAGACAGAGGGAGGAGAGAGAAGACGGTGAGGGAGAAGAGAGAAGAGGAAGATGGAGTCACATTGAGAAAGGGAGACAGGGACAGAGAGAAGAGGAAGATGAACCCAGGGACAGAGATGGGACTACCGTCTGTTTGTCGTCACTGAGAAAGGGAGAAAGGGAGGAAGACGGAGTCGCACTGTTTCTCTCCTTCCTCTTCGTAGTTGCTGGTTTGCTTTTCTTGGCCTTCCCTCCTCTGTTCATCGTGATGGTAAGTGGTAACAGTGATTTCCCAGTTTTTCCATTGGGGTCACACTATTTTGGTGTGACCCTGATTCCATGATTTTGGAATCTGCCATCCCACGTCTTTCCTTTTTCTCATCCCCATCCCATAATCCAAACAGAGCCTAAAGGAAAGCAAGTCTTCATGGGAAACTCATAAACTTCAAAAGTTATCACGACAAGGGAAAATCAATGTTTTTGAAAACTGACTTTAAGAAAGATCCTAATGCTAAATGACGTGCTGCATGTGCCAGAAATAAAATGAAACCTTGTGTCACGTGCACTCAACAAAGTATGATTGATTTTAAAACAGACATGGTTGTGTTCGCTAGAAATAATGTATTCATTAGAAAATGATATAATGCTGGCGGAGTGTGTGTACTGAATATATCTGATACTATAATAAATGATATAATGCTTTTTCTTCTACTTAAATGAGTGAATTATTGGATATTTGGCATGTTATATTAGGACATCATAGTGC